TCCAGCCCCTTCGTGTCTAAATTACAGCACCTGTTTGTAAGACGCAAAATCCATTGAGGGTTTTATTTATTTACTTGTCTCTTTGAGGCAGGGTCTCACTGTGGGTTCAGGCTGGCCTTGAGCTCACTCTGTAGCCCAGGCTGGCCTCAAACTCGAAGGGATCCTCCTGCCTCAGCCTCCTGAGTGCTGGAATGACAGGCGTGTGCCACCACGCCCGATCATTAAGGGCTTTAAAAAATTAAATCAAAACCAATTATTTAACTGAACAGGGCACTGCACGCCTGCCATCCCAGCACTCAGGAGGCTGAGGCAGGAGAAATGCTGCGAGTTCGAGACCAGCCTGGGCTACACAGTGCAATCCTGTCTCAAAAAAGAAAAAAAAAATTATTTAGTACCCAGAGGACCAAAACAACTCACTCTGCCTGTGTAGGCGGTCACACCCGTGTCACCTGGGTCCCAGGAGGAGACAGCCCGTCTCCTCTCGGGGTAGGGGGCGTTGTACTTCAGAGACACACAGAGACAGGGAAGGTTCTAGAAGATCCTCGGAGCTGATAATCTCCAACTTCAGAATAACTTCTAGGATTCATTTTATTCTCCTTTTGATGAGGCCGGGGGTGGAGGGAATGATAACAGAAGCCTTGGCAGCCTCTGGGGTGGGGGGAGACCCTTGATTAACAGGAGTAGGAGAGGACAGAGGCCGTTGTGGTGCCCCTCGGCTCCGTGAGTGACCCAAGAGGAGGCCAGCTTCTCTTTCTCACAGCCGTGTGGGAGCATGGACCCCCCCCCTGACTTGGGGACACACGAGCCTCCCTCAGATGGCTCTGGATGCATAGCTGGAACAGGACACAGAGGAGGAGGACAGAGCCCTGCTGTCTGCTCTGTGTCACGGGGGACAATCGTGGAAAGTTCCAGAAGCACTAACTGCACCCTGAGGTGCAGGGGAGAAAAAAAGGCTGGGTGTGGGGGCGCACGCCCCTCATCCCAGCACCGAGAGGCGGAAGCAGGAGGATTCGCCACAAGCTGCAGCCCAGCCTGGGGAGTTTGGTGACTTCGCAAAATGCTGCCCCAAAACATAAAGGATTGTGGGCAGAGTGCAGTGCAAAGGCCCTGGGTTCAATCCCCCAACGCCCCAAACAACCCAGACGTTCACCCCAGCTTTGCTTCCTCCATCTCTAACCACCCCGTCCACCTCTCCATTTAGGGTTTTTCTTCTACCTGATCCAAGATGATCACAGTTTCTAGAAGCTTCCACGCTTTCTGTCTCCGGACAGGTATCTCTTATTTCTCCTCATCCTCTCTCTCTCACTGGGGGACCCCCCTCCCCATAAGTCGCCCATAATGGCCTCATGAAATAAATCACTCCTCGTGGCTAAAGGAAATTTAATAAGCCGGCTTATTTCTGCCTCCTCTGCTCTTTGTGCACGGCCTTTTTGTTAGGTTCGCATGGGAAGAGGCGTCTGGGAGGAAACTGTTCTCAGCAATGATATCTCGGATTCTCCCAGCTTTCCAGCAGCCCCAGAGGAAAAAGGGGTTTGTTTTTTCGTGTGGGAGGGGAAAGAAGCCAGGAGCCAAGGGAACACCCAGATTAAAATAAACAGATTTCCAGCTGCCTGGGACCTCAGCGCCAGGGGAAACAGGCAGGTGGGCGGTAAATCGAGGTGACTTCGGCCTGGAGTAGCTCCCCCTCTGCGCTGTGCTCTGGGAGGTGGCAGTGCCCCTAGATCTGTCTCCTCTAGTAAAATTACGCTGAAATTTCCTTTTCATGGTGCTGGAGAGAGATAGAGCCAGGTCTCAGCCATGCCAGGCAAGGTCAAAGTCACACCTGCTGGCCTCAAACAGGCGATCTTCCTGCCTCAGCCTCCCGAGGGGCTGGGATGGCAGCGGGGCAGCTCTGCACCCGAGGCGAGGCCCAGGCGGGGCTCAGGCTCCCGGTGACCCAGGGGCAGGAGCTGTAGCTCAGAGACCAGGCCGTGGGTTCCACCCTCCGTGTGTCGCGGGCAGGCTCACTGAGCAGCAGACCACGCCAGCGCTCTCACACGCACGCTCACAGCTTCCTGGGGGCTTCCTGGGGGGCTCCCTGGTCAGCTCTTTTTGGGCTTGGAGGCAAACTTTTCCCCAGACCTCAGAGTCTCAAAAAGCACCCAGGGACCAGCGCTGGAAAATGAGGCTTGCTCCCTGTGTGATGAGTCCCCAAAGCCCTGGGTAAGCGCTGGGATCCACGCTCTCCTCTGTGAGGTCCCGGACCCCTGTAACTGGGGAGAGTGGGGGAGAGCAGGAGGCCCCATGCAATGCTGCACACCTGGGATCCGGAACAATCTGGGAGGCTGAGGCAGGAGGATCGCTAGTCTGAGTCTTTAGCCTGGGCATTTTAGGGACCCAGTGAGACCCTGTGTCAAAAAGAAACATGGGGGCTGGCGGTTTAGCTCAGCGGCATAAGCACCTGCCTTGCAAGTAAGCAGTCATGGGTTTGATCCCTGATACCGATAAAAATAAATAAATAAATAAATAAATAAATAAATAAATAAATAATAAAACATAGAAAGGGCTGGGAGTGGAGCTCGGTGAGAAAGCTGGGGTTCAGTCTCCAGTACCAAGGAAAGGCTCTTTATAAAGTAAGGGGGGGCAGGCAGGCGAGGGGCCCCAGCGCGAAGCTCATTCCCGGGACACCCAGTTACTCGGTGACCTCAGGAGACAAACCATGAGAGCCCTCCCTACGGCCAACACGATGGCCCCCCATTTCAGGGTCTTTGATCCGGCCCCCTCAAATCCACACCCCAAACCCTCCGTGTGGACTGTCCAGCCCCCCGAGACTGCTGGCATGGCTGGGAAAGGGGGGTCTGACCCAAAGCTCCTGGTGGGGGTGAAGCTGGGGGTCCTTGCCCCCCCCCAGCCACCTCTACAAGCCAAACCTCGTTTACACGCCCGGCAGTGTCCACACCGACTGACCCCGTCCACCCTGGCTGCGTCCACACAACGCCGAGACCTCCAAACTGCTCCCGGGGTCTGCACGCCCTGGTCGCATGCACACAGCACCAGGTGTTCATACATGGACACCCCCGTTTCGGACGGGTCGCTGAGCCCCGCGGGGGACCCCAACTCACCCTGCTCCACTCAGCTCCCGCGGCCGGATCCCGCACTGCGGAGCCCGGAGCTGCGGACTAGAGGGCGGGGCGGGTGCACCTGGGCGAGGCGGGGACACCTGGGCGGGGCACGCCTGGGGGGGCACCTGGGCGGGGCACACCTGCCGGCACCGCCCTCCCCCTCCCCCTCCCTCACTCCGGGCTCAGCCCCTCAGCAGCTGCCTCCTTGGCTGCAGCTGCCAGAGCAGGTGAAGTGATTTCCTGAGGGAAGTCAGTCAGGGTCCCTCTGGGGACTGACTCCCTAGGGAGCAGGGGACAGAGCTGGGCAACGGGTGTGTGTGAATAACTAACTCGGTTTTGTAAACAAGCGTTTCATTTTAGAGCAGCTTCGCCCAAATATCCAGAAAGTAAACCAGGCACAGTGGCGCATGCCTGTCACCCCAGCACTCGGGAGGCTGAAGCAGGAGGGTTGCCAGCCTGGGCTGCCGGGTGAGTTCAAGGTCGGGCCTCCTTGCATAATTCCGTCGGCCTTGAACTTACCGTGGGGCTGAGCTTGCCCTCTGGGGTCCTGCAGGAGCTGCCTCACCAGGCAGAGCTCCCTGGGGCAGAGCTGGGTTTAGGATTCACGTGTGGTGCAGCCCCCCAATTCCTAGTGGGGTACAGCAAGCGATCCAGTACAGCAGGCACCGAGCAGATGGGTGGATGGGTAGGTGGATGGGTGAATGGCTGGGTTTGTGGACGGACTGATACGTGGACGGGTAAGTGGGTGACAGCTTGAGGGGTGGCTGGATGATAGGTAAGCGGGCAGGTGAGTGACAGGTGGGGAGCACACAGGTGGATACAGGGATGGCAGGTGGGCCTGGTGGATGGATGGCTGCGGGGGGCAGAGGTACAGATGGACGGGGGCTGGGCGCATGGAAATATTTAACCTCTGGTCAGCTGTTTGAAAGAAAATCCCCATGGTCAACATCTTTCTTTCTCTTTCTGTCTGAGACAGGGTCTCACTATACGGTTCAGGCTGGCCTCGAACTCTCAGCGATCCTCCTGCCTCAGCCTCCCCAGGTGCTGGGATGACAGGTGTGCGCCACCACGCCTGGCTCGAAATTGAGCATGGTGACCCCCAAACCAAGGGGATCGATGGCCTTGCATGGCTCTCGGCTGTATGGATGGATTGCTGAGTCCAAACCAAGAGGCTAACCCGGCTTTGGTAGCGCAGTAGCTCACGATTCCCCTGCGCATGCGCCCGGGGTCCCACATGGTGGGGGGGGGATCCTCAGCTGGGGGCGGGGCTTGGCTGGTGTCACATGGGCAGGGCCCTTTGTCCAGAGGGGAGGTGTGAAGCTGCTGAAGGGCACGTGGGTGGCCTAAGCACCTGAAGGTGCTGCTCCTCTTGGGTCCCCCCTCCTCCTGGGATACAGGAGGATCTGTGAGAACCAACTGACCACCAGAGCCCCAGTCCACAGCAAGGCCCAGGGTGATTTGGGTCCCCCAGCGCCCCCCAAAAGCACCCTCAAGATTAACTGGGTCCTTCTCACCCCCAGGCAGAGTGAGCAAGGGCCGGGACCAAGCCGCCTCATCTGTGCATGGCTGAAGGTTTTTAAAAATCCCTTTTCTTGCTAAGTAGCCTGGCCGGGCTCACACTTGTCATCCTCCTCCTGCCTCAGCCTCCCAGAGTGCCTGGGTGGCAGGCATACATTAATGCATGGCTCTGGCTTCTGTGATGCTCTTAAGTGGGACAGTAAAGCGGCTGTGGCAGAGACCACCTGGGCCACGGCACCCAAAGAGGTGACTGTGAGACGGGACCCTGGAACATTCCCGAGCTGCTCAGAGCTGCTGAGTTTCCTTCGGGTCCAGAATGTCTTCACCCGGGACCCTCCACCCCCCACTGTGTGCAGCCCCCACGGAGGAAAAGCCAGGTGGTAATATCAAAAGCTACGTTTAATCTTCAGAGCCAACAGGAGCAAGGCGAAACATACAAATGGGGAGCCCCGGGTGCCCCCCACTCCGACTGGAACGCCACGCACACCCCGTACAGAATGGCTTGAGTTAAGGTGCAGTCCCACAGAGGAAGCGGGCCCGGCCCCAGACTGTCCTGGCTCCCGGGGATGGAGGGAGGTCCCGCCACTCTCCCCCAGCTCACCTGGCTTTTCAAGGATCACGGCCCGTTGGGGTCACTCCACTTCCTCTGCTACATCCTGGGGGGGCTGGGAGCCCCACTCGGACACCCTGGCCCAAGGGAGTGGGGGGCACCTCCACCTTCCCAGTCCTGGAGGCCGAGCGGAGAGGAGGGGTCCCGCATCTGTGCTCTGCTGCCCAGCATTTGGGGCACAGGCAGCCCCGAACAGGTGGCCCCGCCTCAGGCGTCTCTGTCCTGGGCCTGGATGAGCCCGTGGGTGAGGTAGCGGACAGGACGTGGGCTGGGAGCGGCCTCCCTCGGTCCAGAGGCTCTGGGCTGCTTTTCCGACCTGCCCTGTGGGGTGGCAGGGACCCTGCCGGCGACACCACCAGACTCAGAGAGCAGCGACGCTTTATTAAAGGAGGGAGGCGCTGGGCCCCACTCTGGGCCCATTTGGGCCCTGGGACGACTATGGTCCCCTCTGCCCGTCCCTCGCCTGCACCGCAGCCCAGGGCCTGAGCCCCGCTGGCCTCCCACTCCGTGCAGCTCAGGCTGGGTCCCCTCATGTGGCCAGTGGCTGCTCAGCAGCCTGGAGCTGCGCCCTGCAGGGAGGACGACCCTGAAGGGGAGCGGTGGCGGGTGAAGCACCAGACGCAATGGCCTTGGCCACAAGCGGATGGCACAGGCTACCGGGGACGGGAGCTGATGGAAGACTGCAGAGCCGGAGGAGCCGAGGCAGCCAAGCACACCGAGCGGGGCTGGAGAGGCGGGGCGCGGGCGGGCGTGGGCAGGGGGGCCTCGAGGCCCTGCCCGGGACTGAGCACCATGTTGGGGGCCGGCACGGGCCGGGCTGGTGGGGGCGGCTGTCCTGTGTCCCCTGCAGTCGCCACTGGCCCCAGCATCGTGGTGTGGTGGCAACGGCCATGCACGGCCTCAGGGGCTTGGAGGACCCCTCCCTAGGCCGGGCTCCCAGGCTGGGCGGAAGGGGGGCCGGGCAAGGCCAGGTCCTGGCCCTCAGGCTCTGGGGCGCTGCGGGCCGGGCTCCCGGGCTCCTGGGCAGGCGCTGCAGCCCCTTCTTCCTCCGCCGCGCACGGCTCTGGGGGCTGCTCTTCACCTGGAGGCTGGGGTCTCGGGCCGACTGGCTCCCTCGGGGGCTGGGAACTGCCGGCCGGGGCCCACAGTGACTGAGGAAGGTCTTTCTGCAGAAGAGAGGCTGTGGGTGACATGGGGACAGGAGCCTGGAGCAGCTCTTGGCAGGGGCAGCAGGCACTGCTGCAGGTGGAGGCTGCAGGTGGAGGAGGGCAGGGGACGCCCTGGAGCTCTGGGCTCAGGACCAGCGAGAGGTCAAGACCACTTACCCACCCAGCCGCCCGCTGGCAGCCACCCCTCCTGTGTAGTCACCACCCTGCCCTGGCTCCAGGCCAGACGTGGGGCGGGTGACCTGCCATGCACTGGCGTCCCACCCTCGGCAGTACCCAACCCATCCTAGGATCCCCAAAACCTAGCCCAGCAGGGGCCGCCGCTGCCTGGTGAGGCACTGTCCTGGAGACAGATGGGGCACAGTCGCCTCCCTCCTGCTCAGCTGCAATGGCCCAGCCCCAAGCCGGGTCCCCCAGGAGGCGGGGACAGAAAAGGCTGGCAAAGAAAGCACAAGCCTCGGGCAGCGTCTGGCCAGGCCAGGGGACCCACAGCAGGCAGCCCGCCCGCTGCCCCATGACTACGATCTGCACCCCCCTCCCCCGGACAGCGGGGACCCGCTGGGGCCCCTCAGGTTACCACTCCCGCAGACACTGACAGAAACCGGTATTCACCGCAAAGCCGCTGCCCGTCCAGAAGGCGCCCAGCTCCTGGCGCCACAGGGCCACCGCGCACGACGTCACCAGGGTGCAGGGCACCAGGTAGAGCAGCGCGGGCTGGCCACGCTGCATGAGCGCCAGCGCCACAAACGTCACCAGGAGGCCGATGCCATAGGCTGTGAGGAGGAGGGAGAGGGGCGCAGGGGCTGGGTGTCGGGGTGCTGGGGCGGGCCTGGCCCCACCCCACCCGTGTGCGGGGCAGAAGCCCGGGGCGGCGGGGGCGGAGGGAGTGAGACAAATGGCACAGCAGGCTCGCCTTGACGATGAGGCCCCCTCGCAGCCAGCGGGGGGCTCTGACTGGCTCCCCTCTGTGGTCCTCTCCGAGACAGTCTCACTGTCACCTCATCTCCCAGGGGGCCTCAGTTTGGAACCAACAACCCCACCCCAGGGCGCCAGGGGGAGGCGCTGAGCTCAGACACTTAGAAAGAACCTGGGCTCAGCAGAAAACAGGGTCCCGAGTACATGGTTCTGGGGTGAACAGGGAAGGCGACCAGGGAGAAGAAAAACAAAATGAGAGAGGCGGGGGACACGGACCAGCCCCCAACGGCCACCTTGAGGTCCTGGGTTCAAATCCCGACACCACCTCCACAACAAAATAGGAGGAAAGAAAACAGCCAGGCCCGCAGGAGCCAGGGCAGGACAGCGTCCTGGACGACGGTACCCACCGATGGTGCTGGCCATGAAGTAGACCCTGGAGGACTGCACCTGCACGTCGAACCTGTGGCAGTAGGCCACCAGCAGCCCTGCAGGGGTACCCCAGGCTCACCATGGGCCGAGGCCACCCCTCCCATCAGGCTGCTGACATCACCAGGGATTGGGGTTGCAATGACCCCCGAGACCTGAGGCCCAGGACGGCCTGGCTGGGGTCGTTACAGGGGCCCCCACCCTCTGCACCAGGGGGTGCAGGCTGCCAGGGCACAGGAGTAGGACACAGATGGGGCAGAGACTGCCCTGGTCAGGGGTCACCCCTACGCACCCCCAGCAGGATCTGGTCCCCACCCCCAGAGAGGGCCTCAGCCCTGGCCTGTCACTGCCAACTCCCCAGCCCGCCAGCCTCGGCACCTGGCACCAAGATGTCTCCAAAGCCCAGGAGGGAGAAGGGCCGGTCGCACAGGGCCAGGGGCGAGGAGTTGAGCCTGGGCACCTTCAGGACCATGGGCAGCTGCGGGAGAGCAGAGTGGACTCTCTCCAGACCGGGCCTGCCTGGCCTGGGGGGGCCCTGCACCCCACCCCGTCAGACTCTGGGCTGAGGCCTCACAGAGACATGACGCACCTTCTCATGGGTGGTGGAGTCCGAGGGTCCGGTGGCCACCTCCACCATGATGCTGTTCCCGCTCTGCACAGAAGGGTCACATCAGGGTGGGTGCTGGGCAGCGGGGTGGGAACCGCGAGGCGGGCAGGGCAGGCGCCTACCTTGGTCAGGAAGGGCGTAATGAAGACAAAGAAGACGTCGTAGATGAACAGCACCAGCAGCAGCAGCGTGCAAGCCTGGGGGAGCAACAAGTGTGAGGAGGAGGGGTCAGTGGGGGGAACGTGGGGGGGGCACAGTGGGGGGCCGAGCCTCACCTTGAAGGTTGGGAGGCGGATGGTCTTCAGCATGTACAGGCAGAAGGTGATGCCCAGCGCGTCCTGCAGGACCCAGGCCCACCTGGAAGGCAAGGCCCTACTGACCCAGACACCACACACCGCACCTGACCTGGCCCGCCCAGACCTGCTTCATGAGGCTCTGTGCACACCGCTCTCCAAACACATCCCGTCTCCCCGCTGCCAGTCAGCCTGTCAGGGCCAACCTGTGCCCAAGTGGGAGGGGGGACAAGTGGCGCGGACACCAACATCCCCCTGCACCAGCCGGTGTGAGCAGGGCTGGGCCTGCAACGTCGGGCAGGGGCCGTGCTGGGCATTGTGGGGGACAATGCTGGCACTGGGCCGGCGTCCCCCCTGCCTGGGGGCACCGTGGAGATCGCTGGCATCAGGGCCAGGAGGGTTCACGGCATCTCCGTCCAGATTCCAGTCAGGGCCAGGGGGCACCTGGCCAGCTGGGATGGAACCAGACACGGCTCCGGGCGGGAGGTCTCGGCACAGGCGGAGGTTCCGCCCGGGCACCTGAGGACAGGAGAGGGGACCGGGCAGGGGCGGGGTGGTGGCACTCACTGGTCCTCGTTGCGGAAGACGCCCCACACCACGCTGACGGCCACGCAGAAGAGTGCCAGGAGCAGCATGCGGGCCTGGGGGCGCTTGTGGAAGTAGGGCAGGCTGTTGTCTGGGACCCTGGTGGGGACCGCCCGTCAGCAGCCGGGATCCCGTGGCCCCGAGCCCGCACCCAACGGCTCCTGCAGCACGGGGGCCCCTCCAGAGCCCCATCAAGCTCCTGCCCCCCGGGGCAGGCAGCCAGAGGGAGCCTGCTGCACCAGGTCTGCCCCCGTCTCCAACAGCAAAGTGGGGTGGCGGGGCCCTCTGAGCCCCATCTGGCCTTGCCTTAGCCCCCCCTTACCCCGTGAACACCTCAGCTCCCGGGCCGGGACTCTCTGGGCCCAGCCTGTGGGGTCTGCTGAGCAGGCCAGTCTGCAGCCCAGGGCTGAGCCGTGGCCCTGGACCCCCAGGGGGCTGCTGGCCGGGCCAGGCGGGGCCGGGGCTCACCTGCACCCGCAGCAGGGCAGGCGGCGCACACAGGGCGCCAGGCAGCTGTAGAGGCCGGTGGAGGAGGCCAGGCAGAAGATCCCGATGATCACGTAGACTGCAGGGGGAGCGTGTGGTGAGGGCGCCGCTGGAGCACCCCCGCCCCGCCCGGCCCCGCCCACCCCGCCCCGCCCGGCCCCGCCAGCCCGCACCGAGGTGGTCGTAGAAGTAGTAGAGCAGCACGAGCATGGAGCAGCACATGACCACGAACACGCAGATCATGACGGGCGTCACGTCCACCGCGCCGTCCTCCTGCTTCTCGGGCCCGTCGTCCCGCTTGTGCTTCACGTACCTTCTTGGAGGACACGGGGCTCACGGGTGCCGGGGCGCTCCCGGCCCTGTGACGGCCTCCCCGCGGGCTGCAGGGACTGACCGGGACCCCCGAGCCCCCGGCAGGGCCTCACCTCCTCACGTCCCGGCTCCCGGCCCAGTAGCCGCCGAGGGCAACCGTGCCCACCGCCATGATGAAGATGATCACCATGTTGTAGTCCAGCACAGGCTCGCTGGGCGCGTACAGCGCCACCCGCAGCTGGTGGCCGAAGTTCTGCAGGGAAGGGCAGGGACAGGCTGCTGAGCGGCGCCCTGCCCTCTGCACCGCCCGCAGGCGGGGCCGCACCCCAGCCCGGCGGCCAGGGGCGCCTACCTGGAACATGTCCAGCATGTCCCGGTGGCTGAGCAGCGCCACGGGGATCCCGATCTCCTCGTACTGCGTCCTGTTGCCTCCTGGGGGCACCTGGCCCGGGAGGAGGCAGTGTGGGGAGTCCACGCGGGAGCCTGCGGACCACTGGGCCCAGGTCGCATCAGGGCCACTGCCAGGGTGGGTGCCAGGCCTCAGGCGGGGGTCACCCAGAGTCCCACGCAGGGCTCTGTCGCACACCAGCCCCTCCCACAAGGCCCCACAGCCAACACCAGAGCCCGCCGCCCGTACCAGCTTCTCCTTGCTGACCACCAGCAGCCCTCGTGCCCCGCCGCCTTGCGCCAGGCGCACTTTCTCGTAGAAGGTGCAGTTCCCACGCGCCACCAGCGGGACCTGGTTGATGAAGCCCCCGGGAGGGAGGTCGCTGGGGGAGCAGAGCATGGAGGATGACCAGTCGCCAAGCTGCAGGAGAGACTGGGGGGCGGGGAGGGGGTCACGGCGGCTTCCTGGCCACTGATCACTGGGGAGGACACCATGACCGTGCTGACTCCTGGGCTCTGGGAGGGGTCAGCCCAGTGTGGCAGGGTCAGAGATGGGGGAACCTTGACAGGGGTCTCGGGGACATCCCTGAGGGTCCTGTGAGAGTCCAGGGGGCCTCGGCAGTGTCCACGGGAGGGAAGCGGCTCGCCCAGCCTGCCAGGACTCTCTCAGTACAGGCCCCAGTGACTGGGAGGCGGGGGAGGACCAACACCACTGTCCAGAGCACAGGCCTCGCTTGAGGCTCACGGCCAGCCGTGCCCAAGAGACAGGGGACCCCGTGGCCGCCCCAGGGCCACCCTCCTAAGGTTCCACATCACAAGGTTGAAAACGCTCCCAGCATGCACCAGGCAGGGCCGGAGCTCACAGCCCCCACGGGGCAGCGCTGGGTGGGGGTGAGAGCGCCTGTGCACAGAAGCCACGGCGTACCTCACACTCAGGCCACACGCCTGTGCTCACAGACAGGCAGGTGTGGGGCTGCACCCCTGTAGGGAACAGCGGGGTGCACACTGCCTGGCACCAGACCCTCCCCGCAGCCCCGTGCCGGGTGCGGCAGCCTCACCGCCTTGCCCAGGTCGTGCGGCAGGTGCGCCCACTGCGGGTTGTAGAGGATGCAGTAGTCCTTGCCTCTGGGGACACCGCTCTCAGACATCACGTGCACCATGCCGTACTCGCAGGTCACCTGCGCAGGGACAGGACGGGGGACGGGGTGGTCAGAGTGACCCCACGGGGCCTGGGGCGCCTTCGGGCAAGCATCAGGACTCAGCCTCTCCTGAGCACGGCTCACGGCTGAGGACCCCGGAGGGAGGGCGGCGGGGACAAGCTGACTTCCCAGGGAGACTGGCTGGGACCACGGCCCTGCGCCAGCGCTCTCCAGACAGGGAAGACAGCTCGAGTTCTCAGGGCCTTCGGGATCAGTGGGGACAGGAGGGAACAGAGTCCTAGGAAGAGCCCTCTTACAGGATATCCACAGCCCTGTCCCCCGCTCTGGTGGCCACTGCGTGCGTGGGGGGGGGGGACAGGGCAGGTCTGACCACAGGTGGGGGGTTACAGCTAGTCACATGACCAGTCCAAGAGGGCACAGGTCAGAGGGGACCCTGCCTGATACCCCATCAGCTCCCAAGTAAGCGGGGCGGGAAGTGGACAGACCAAAGGAGCTGAGGGCACTGGACATTGGGCTGGCCACAGCCATGTGTGTGCTCTGCAGGGGCTGAGGTCTGGCAGCCGCTGGGAACAAATCCAGGCAGCCACAGCAGGGCGCTCCCTCCTGCACCCCTACCCAGCACCAGCCAGCCAGGGACAGCTGGCCTGGGTCCCTCCACGGTGACCAGCAGGAGCCCAGGAGACAGAGAGGGATGATGAGCACCGTTCACACAGAGGGCAGAGGCGCCCAGCACAGGGGGCCCCGCCTGCTGACCCCGCCTCACACGGCCACCTGCTCACCCGCCTCCTGCTGGGCCTGGCCTGGCTGCCACCACCTCAGGCAGAGCTGGGTCCTGATGCCCTGCCACTGCCCAGAGAACACCCTCAGCCTCACGTGGGCCTTGGGAGGGCGGGGTCTCAGGCGCCTCGGCCCATGCCTTGGTCTTCTTGGGGACGGAGTGCCCACCCGCACCCCTGAACACTCCTCCCACAGGGCTGCGTGCCCTGGGCCACTCCTGGCGTCCAGAGGCCCTGCACACAAACAAGCGGGCAGTGGTGCCAACCTGCACCCTGGGGCGAGGCCAGCACTGCGGGTCCGTGATGTCACATGGAACCTCAGTCCCACAGGTGGCTACGCTAGGCTGGGGCAGCGAAAGGGGGACTCTCATCTGCCTTGGTTTGACCGTCAGTCTAAGAGCATCTCACCTGAGGCCCTGGCCACCCAGAGGTGGCAGCACGTAAATGCCCAAGGCCTCCGAGTCCCCATGGTCCAGAGTTGATACAGGCTATATTTTGAAGGCCACCCCCAGCTGCTGTTCCAGGGTCTCCCTGTCCCCTGAGATAACAAACGTGAGTCACCTGTGGCTGCGGGCTGCATCCTGGGCACTTGGCTGGCTGTCCTCTGCCCATTCCCTGTCCCAGCCTGGCCTGAGCACCTCTCCCAATGTCTCCTCCTCCCCCACCTGCAGGTGCCCCACTGCCCTGCCCGCCCGAGGGTGCCCAGCTGTGTGCCCTTCAGATGGGTCCACCCATGGTCCAGCATCCCTGGCACCTGCTGGGAGGCAAGGTAAGGGCCACGAAGGTGCTGGGGTCCACGGTCCTAGCTGCATCTGATAATAAAGGTTTTTTTTGTTTTTATGTTTTTGCTTTTTTGAGACAATCTGCTTAGACAGCTCAGGCTGGCCTTGAGCTCACTTTGTGGCCCAGGCTGGTCTTGAACTTCCAATGATCCTCCTGCCTCAGCCTCCCAAGCTGGGATGACAGGTGTGGGCCACCACACCCACCAGGCTTGTTGACGAACTTTTTTTTTTTTTTTTTTGTCTTTTTTCCCCGGTACCAGGGATCGAACTCACGACTGCCTGCTTGCAAGGCAGGTGCTTATGCCGCTGAGCTAAATCCCCAGCCCCTAGTTGACGAACTTTTACAGGAACTCAGCCCAACGTGCTCCTATGCAGAAGGTCCAAGGTCGTCCCCACCCGCAAGGGAGGGGCGGCAGCAGGAACTCGGGGCCCAGAGCGGAGACCGCTGGCTATCTGGCCTTCCCAGAAGACAGCCCAGCCCTGTCCCCGGATCTGGGCTGTGAGTGAAATGCCTTTTGTGTGACACAGAAATAGATAGAGCCACTGCTCTTCAAAAGGATCACTCAGGGACACAAAAGCGCATTCACTGATATTCTGTCCTCATAATCTGCAAAACTGGTTTCCACTAAAAAAAAAAAACCCTGGGGCCGGTTGTGTTGCTCAGCAGCACAGCGTCTGCCTGGCAAGCTGGAGGCAGGAGGTCAGGGGTGAGGGCTCGGACCCCCGGTGCCTGAACATGACACAGCCACCTCCAGGGCTTCGTGATCACAGTGGGGACAGGCGGGACACCTGTGGGGAACTGAGCCTTGGAACAACACAGGGGGGTCTCGAAAACATCACGGGGAACTGCCTCCCTGCAGGGGTCCCCAGTTCCAGCTAGGACCAGGCTGCTGCCTGGGGAAGGGGTGGAGCACACCAGGGCGCCCACAGCTGACCACAGGTCCCACGGACAGACTCGCCTCGCCTCCCTTCTGTCCTGCGGTGCCAGGGAGGTGGGCACAGCTGCAGACAGCAGAGCTGCCCAGGGTCCCCACGTGGCAGTGCACTCAGGACTAGCACCAAGCAGCCCTCTGGAGAACAGCCGCTTCCATTCCTGGGCACCCCCCCCCCCCAGTCCACAACGGGTTCCAGGAAGAGAGGGAAGCCCTGGAAGCTGCTTCCTTGTTCTACTCTTGGGATGAAATGTGAACTCTGCCTGCCCAGGATGAAGTCCAAAAACCCCTGCATCCTGAGCATTCTGCCAGCTGGCCTGGCCTGACCTGTCCAGCCCTGCCCCACCTTTTCCCCCTGCCCATAGCCGCTCCCTGGGCTCCTGCTCTGCCCTCTGGCTGAGGGGGAACCCCTGGTCTTACCTCCAGGTCACCAGGAGGGCCTCCTTTACGGGGACATCTTGCAGGGGGTGGCGGGAGTGTAAGCTGTCCTTGCAAGTGCTAAACAGCTCTCCACACCAGCCCTAACCAACTCATCATCGTCCCCAAATAAATCCAGCTCACATCCCCCGACCTGCAGCCCATACCACCGCTCCTCTTCCGGGCCCACCTGGAGAAATCCTGTGCAGTTCAGGACACCCATGTCACAGCTTTTAAAACCTCCCAGAGAGCCAGGCGTGGTGATGCACGTCTGTAATCCCAGCACTCAGAGGCTAAGGCAGGAGGCATGTTGGAGTTTGAGACCCGCCTTGGGCTACAAAGTGAGCTCAAGGCCAGCCTGAACTGCATTTCGAAACCCTGTCTCAAAAAGACAAAATCAAAAAACAAAACAAAACCCTCCCAAGGAAACTGAGTCCCCACTTCTGTGGTGCCTCCACAATCACACAGCATTTCTCTCACTTCCCCTGTAGCCCCTCCACCTGCTGGAGCAGACCAGTGAGGGAAGTCCAGGCCAGTGCAGGGAAAGTCCAGCGAGCTGGAGAGACAGCTGGGCAGCTGAGGGGCTTCCTGGACAGCCTCTGAGGGCAACAGAACAACCAAGACTAAGGGAGACCAGGGGCATTCCAGGGTGACGCAAGAGCATAGAGCATAAGGGGCCACCAGTGAACCTTGCTAACCAGGGGGCGGCACCCAGAGGCCTCAGGAAAAAGACAGGAAACCGCTGGATGTGACAAGACACAAGAAGCTTTGAAGAAAATGTTATTTCTGCCTGGTCAAGAGTGGACTTGAGGGACAAAAGCTGGCACACGGGGACCAAGCAGCTGCAAGGAGCTACCACGGAGACACACAGACAGGCTGCACAATGCACACAGAGAAAGCGCCCTAGTGTGGGAGAGGTGTCAGGAGTTAAACTGCACACATGCCTGTCATCCTAGCACCCTAGGAGGCTGAGGCAGGAGGACTGAAATTGACCCCAGCCTGGCCAAATGAGCAAGACCTTGTCTCAAAAAAAAAAAAAAAAAAAAAAAAAAAAAAAGACTGGGGACCTACTTACCTACTTTAGTGTGAAAGCCCTGGGGTCCCCGATTAGAACTAACTAAGGAATGCATTTGTAGACTTCCCAGGGCCCGAATCCCTGAGCTGCAGACCCCAGGAGCAAAGGAACACCTGGAACCCTACTGTAGTCACAACGGTGGGCATCAGCTACCCCGTGGATGGAGGGAGGCCCTGCTAGACTGTGACACCCTTCTCACTAACTGACTCATGGCCCCCACATCTCCTCCTGGACCCAAAAACGAGACGCTTATGGCCCCTTTTGCAGACTGACAACTGCCGCTCAGAGCTGGAGCCCCCTTGCCCAAGGTCACGGAGCACAGTAGGCGAGGGGCCGGGGTTCAATCGCATTTCAGGTCTGAGTGCTTAGCTGCTCCTCAACGCCGCCAGGTTTTGGGGAACACGGCGGACGCCCCACCGGGGTCCTTCTGGCAAGCCCCCGGTGGAGACCTAGCTTGCATTGCGCTCATTTCGCAAAAGGGGAAACTGAGGCTCGGGACGGGCTGTCACCTGCCAAGGCCACTAAAGTGGAGGTCCGTGGCGGCGGCTGCGGACCCCGAGACCGACAAGCAGGCCTTGGGGAGCGTTCCCGCGGCGGGAAGGCGAGGAAGAGGAGCCAGGAAAGGCCCGCAAGGTCACAGCCGGGCTCCCGCCGCCCGTGGGGGGCGCGGGTGTCGGAGGCTGCTCCCCGCGCCGGGTCGGGCGGGCTCCCACGCGTAACCCGGAACCGAGGGCCCAGCACCCCACCCACAGCTGCGGGTCGGCCGGGCCCAGCGCAGCCCTCACCTGGGCCGCGAAGAGTACAAAGGCCGCCCCGAGTCGCGCCACTGTCAAAGCCGCCATTCCTGCCGGTCCCGCCGCAACAGACAGCGGAGGTTTCCAAGCAACGCCCCAGGCCGCCGCGTCGCGCAAGCGCTGCGCATGCGCGCGAAGCCGGGGTCAAAGGACGTGGCTTAGCGCCTGCGCAAAGAGGCGCAGGCGGCACCATGGCGGTGAGTGCACGGCTGGACGTGTGCCTGGGAGAGCGGAGGGGCTGGGGGTGCATGCACCGGGACGAGGGAGCCCGGGGGCTGAAGACCCCGGGAAGATAGAGGGACTCCAAGACAGAGGGCTGCGGAGCGGGAGACGTATTTGAGAGGCAGGAAGCTGCACACCGGTGATTAGGAGCGCTGTGGACCGTAGAGTGGGGTGCTGCAGACTGAGGGTGCAGGAGGACAGGTAGCTGAGAGATTGCAGACTGTGAAGACTGGGGCTCTGTATCAGGCAGAGATAGCGGCAGCCGAGGAGAGGGGCCGCCGACGGGGAGGACGTGTGGGGACGGGTGAGTCGCGGACCCCTGAGACTCGGTGTCCGGAGAACGGGGGGTGCCAGAGCTGGGGCCGCGCTCCCCACTTCACGGGTTCTGCCTTCCCGCAGGACAAAGAGAAAAAGAAGAAGGAAAGCATCTTGGACCTGTCCAAGTACATTGATAAGACGATCCGGGTGAAGTTCCAGGGGGGCCGCGAAGGTGAGGCGCCCTCTCCTAAAAACGCAAATAAAATACGTAAAGGCAGCGGCGAGGGGGAGACAGGCAGAGCTGCGGATGTTTTAGGTGCTTAAAACGGGCCACCTTGTGCCATCTTCGTGTTGTCACTGGGAAATAGGAACTGGCTGCCTGTATTTCAGGTGGGGAGACTGAGGCAGAGAGAGGAGACCCAGTGTAACCAAGAGAGCTGTCCCGCCTCTGCGTTTTCCCCAGCCCGGGGCTGCCCCAGCGCCTTCCTGGTGTCTTGCTTTCCTTACATGTGCACGTGTTTTGTTTTGTTTCAGACAGGATTTCACTATGTAGCCCAGGCTGGCTTTGAATTTAGCAATCCTCCTGCCTCAGCCACCCAAGTGCTGGGATTAGAGGCCTGCATCAGCATGCCTGGTCAGTTTTTGCTTTTTGAGACAAAGCTCTGGGCTCCTTTTTCTCCAAGCTGGGGACTGATAGGTGGCATCAGTCCTTAAGGCCTGATGCCTGCCTGACCATCGAGGTACAAAGCCCATGCTAGAATCTGAATAAATGTTTGCTCCATGAGCACCATGCTGGCTCCTAGCCTGTAGGCTGTGTTAAAAAGATACAGTTCCTGCTCTTCGGGGAGCTGGTGTTTGTTTTGTACCCAACATAGCAAATGTATGCCTATGTAGCAGGTTAAATAACACCCATTTTTTACCTTACTGGATCTACAGGCTACCCAGGCATGGTAGCACATACATCTATAATCCCAGCAGTGGGAGGCTGAAGCAGGAGGGTCTCTGAAAGTTCAAAGCCAGCCTGGGCTACATAGTGAGACCCAGTCTCCAAAAAAAAAAAGTGTAAGCTAATGACTTGGTGCCACTCAGGGCCCCCCCAAGGCTGTCAGAGAAGGAGCTCTCTTGAGCTGCAGCCCCAAGCGCACCAGTTACTAGTAGAACCCTGTCGTGGGACTCCTGTCTTCCAGTCATGCTGGTTGGGGACCCTCACTCCTGCCTGGGGACCGAACCCAGGCCCTTCATGCTGAGCTCGCCCCTCAGCCCTTTTTATTGATTTTCTTTTAATTTGAGGCACGGTCTCACTAAGCTGCCTGGGCTGTGCTCAAATTTGGATCTTCCTGCCTCAGCCTCTGAGAGTGCCGTAATGACAACCATGCACTGACCCTTAGACTGACCCAAAGCCCCTCATCAGAGACCTGAGTTATGGCGCTAGCTTCTTATTATTGGCGCAGGACCTAAGCTTGGGGTGGGGGGCACCCACACACAGGCCTGGCTTCCCCAGTGCATTTCGCCCTGCCTGCAGCCTCAGCCAGGCCGGGCCAGGGAACAGTCAGTGTGGTGTTCGGGCCCCAGAGGAGGTGACAGAGAGAGAGCCTGGCAAAAAGGAGCATGCAGTCCCCGGAGGCAGAAGGTCACCTGCAGAGAGGTGGCACCAAGACACAACAAGATGGCCCATCAGGCAGAACAGGCAGCCCTGGTGGGGACACCGGGCTCGTCCCCTCTCAGGCTGTCACCGGGTGTGGCAGATGTGGCACCTGGACAAGGAGCCGTGACCCAGGACACCCAGGCTCCCAGAGAGGAGGGCACTCCCGGTAGCCAGGGAGGGGCGTTTCTCCCGAGAGCTGCCCAGAATCCTGCTGGGCACTGGGTCTCCGGGGGACCCAGCTGAAGAAGCCACAGACCCAGAAGAGGACACTCTGTCTGAGCACATGCACCAGGTCCATCCCCTCCCCAGCCCGGGCTCCCTGAGGCCACTTTCTGTCTTGGTGTCACCTACCTGGGTCATTTCCAGTCCGTGAAGCCCACACTGTGTGTCCTCTGTGCCTGGCATCTCTCACTGAGCATGGCATCCTCAAGGTCTCCGGCCCTTAGAGTGGCTCATGCCTGTGATCCCAGCACTCAGAGGCTGAGACAGGAGGATCGCTTTGAGTTCGAAACCAGTCTGGGCTAGACAGTGAGCTCAAGGCCAGCCTGAACTGCATAGTGAGACCCTGTCTCAAAAGGACAAAAACAAAATCTGTGTTTCATGGGCCCGGGATCCCCATCCATAGTCGCAGGGTCCCCTGCCCCCAAGTACTGTGTAGCATGTTGTGAGCAGGCGGGTGATGAGTGTGTCTCTCGTCTCGCGGGTCTGCAGCCTGCACAGCCTCTCTGAGCTTGCCCCCTCTGCTGGCCCCCAGCATTCCAGCCTCCAGTCACACCACCGCCTGTTCCTCGACAACTCACAAGACAAGAGTTTTTTGTTTTTGTTCTTTTGTCTTTCTGAGACAGGGTCTCCCTGCACAGGCTGGCCTTGAGCTCACTCTAGCCCAGGCTGGTCTTGAACTCACAATGGTCCTCCTGCCTCAGCCTCCCGAGTGCTGGGGTCACAGGTGTGCATCGCCACTGAGCCCAGCTTGGTTTTTACGTGGCCTTTTGTCTTTTTTCATTTTTATCGGTACCAGGGATCGAACTCACGACTGCCTGCTTGCAAGGCAGGTGCTTATGCCGCTGAGCTAAATCCCCAGCCCCTGATTCTTGGTTTTTACACTTTGCATAGAAGCCTAAGGAAGAGCTCCCGTCAGCCCTCACTGGGCCGTGTCCACCCAGAAAGTTTCATTGGCACCCGGGGCTCCATGCACGGCAGCAGTGTCCCCCATGTCCTCCGCAGACGGTGACGCGGCCCATTGTACCGGCCATCGGGCCTCTGCAGGAGACGCTTGCTGACCGTGCCTGGGGAGCCCCAGCACCCCTGCCCTGGGGTGGGTGCTGACCTCACACTCCTGTCCGTTTGCTTCCCTTCCCGGTGGCTTCTCCAAGCTAGTGGAATCCTGAAGGGCTTCGACCCACTGCTCAACCTCGTGCTGGACGGGACCATCGAGTACATGCGAGGTGAGCGGCCCTTCTGCTTCCCTGAGGGCCACCGGCAGGTCACCTCCCCCACCTGGGCCGCTGGCACAAGCAGAGAGCCTCCCCATGACCTCCGTCTTCAGCCCGTGCGAGGCTGGGACTGGGGCCTTCTGTTCTGGGCAGGTCTCCTGAGCTGTCCAGGCTGGGCTGCAGCTTGCAGTCCTGCCTCAGCCCCCTAGAGTGCAGGGTGCCAACTCTCTTGGCGATCGTTGGGCGTGGTGAGGTCCTTGGGCTGGGTCCAGCGTGGTCACAGAGCCGTGCTGTGAGAGCTGTGCTGGGGGCTCCCCCGGTGCGCCCGTTCTGCTCCTGAGTTCACACAGCCCCTGACCCTGAGGGTCCCTTGTTTCTTCCCCTCACTGAACCCCCCATCCCCGTCCTGGCCACCACCATGCTTAACTTCTGGGGCACCCGGACGGGTGGCAGAGTCTGATGTCCCAGTGTGTCACCCCAGCCGTGGCTTTGCCCTGTCCCAGAAAGGCAGGGTAGTGTGGCCCCCTTGGCAGTCACCTCTCCCAGCCCAAGGGCCCCTGGGAAAGCACAGGAGCCACCTGGGCCCCACCTTGGTGGCCACTGGCCCCGTCGTGCAGGGCTAGCACAGCACCCCCGAGCTCTAGTGTCACCTGGGTCACCAGGCCGTGGACGAGAGGCTGCCTAGGGAGAGCCGGGTCCCAGACCACACCAGCGCCCCAGTGTCACACTCCAGGCCACCCGGTCCTGGCCACTCCTAGCACCCTGTGACAGTGACCTCACCAGAGCCTGGGTCCGGCTCCCTGCCCCTCACCACAGGACAGTGGTGCCCATGAGGGAGCCTGGGGGTCTCAGAGTCCCGGAGTCCAGGCCCTGGTCCCACTGAGTTCCGGAGCGAGGGTCCCACAGTTCGCAGGCTCAGCACCTCTGTGTCCCCCAGACCCCGATGACCAGTACAAGCTGACGGAGGACACGCGGCAGCTGGGGCTGGTGGTGTGCCGGGGCACGTCGGTGGTGCTGATCTGCCCGCAGGACGGCATGGAAGCCATCCCCAACCCCTTCATCCAGCAGCAGGACGCCTAGGGCCCCCCCCCCCGCCTTTTTGTATTGGTTGAATTTTTGTTTTCTTAATAAAACCACAAACCTTTCGCAGCCTGGCATCTAGTATCTCGCTTTCCCAGCTGTGACCCCAGGACCTGTGGGTTCCCTGGGGCTCAGTCCAGCCCCCACCCCCACCCCGGTTTGTAGATCACCAGCCACCATCTGAGCTGGGAACCGGAAAGAGTTCCGAGGTGACCAGGGTGACGGGTGGGCAGGAGCATCCATCCCGAGGGGACTTAGTCCAGCTCACCCGGCTCAGCCTCCATGCAACCCTGGACGGTGCCCCCAGAGCCAGTGCCCTGTCACTCCCCACACAGCCAGGTCCCTTCAGGAGCGGGAGCAAGCCTGGCGACCCTCGGGAGGCCGGCGGGGTGGCAGGACCTCACCCCGGCTGTGCTAGGGGCTTGGGGGTGGCCTAGGGTTGTCCAGGCAGGAACCCGGGCTTGATCACATCTCACAGCTGTGGACACGGAGGAGGCAG